CTCTCTGCCCGGCCCTGATCTAAAAAATTACTATAACTCATTACAAGGTTAAAGAAAAGCAGAGGTTGCCAGTAAAAGGATAGCAGAGGTTATTTGTGGAAAGATTTCAAGGCTAAATAGTGTTATCTACTTGTTTGGGATTATCTTAATTTTTGGAATCGGCTGTTTAATTTTGGTACAAAAAAAGTAAGGTATAAGTGCAAACACAAAACTAAATTGACATTTTTTTACACTTTTGCAACTACTTGCTCAAAAAATTCCTATATTAAAAACACTGCAAGCGCGTCTTTTTAACAAAGTCTGCCCTATATATACCACGCCATATAGTACATCGTCATTGTGCCGTTTACTACCAGTAGTATGTTATTGTTGCTGCTGGTGTTGTCTCATTTCATATAGGAATGTATGTACATATATATAATATTTTTTTTTTCATTTTCGAACTGATTGTCAAGTTTGACGTCAATCACCGCAATGACACCGAAGACTCCAAAAAAATTAAAAAAAAAAATAAGTATAATAAAAACAAAAACCAAAACGAAAAAAAAACTCAAAATGAATGAAAAGCAAGCACAATAACAAAAATAGCTCCAAGAATAGCCAACCCAAAGACGATCCTCAAGCCAACAACATCAGCGATCACAATCAATTTTTGCGTTCTGTATATAATTGTGATTCTATAACATTGACGCACAATCTATGGCGGGTGTATGCGAGCGAGCGAATGAGTGAGTGAGTGAAAACAATTACGCCTGCCTTTGAATAGTGAGAAGCAATTATGGGATGTAAGATTTGTAGACTAACAACAAGGAGTGAAAGAGAACAAGATGAAGACTTTTAAGTTTCAATTTCAATTGAAGGCTTCAACTTGAAATTAATATCACAGACGCCTATGTATGTATGCTGACATGGAAAATGTTTGTAATCAAAATGATTTCTAAGTATTCGAAAGTGGTTTCTAGGGAATTACTTCACAGCAGGTTTTTTCTTGTGCTTCGAGAATAATTTAACAATCATACTCTAAAGACCATATTAAAATGAGCGCGTTGAGCCTTTAAATGTGTTAAATTTTATCGATAAAACAAAAGCAACGAGCAAGGGTTTATCGATAATGAACACCATATTTTGCTTTAACCCCTAACTGTCGAGGTGAAATTTTAATTTTACAAAAAAAAAAGTTTATTTAAAAATATTTTTGATAATTATTTGCTTTAGAAGTATAAGCTTGTATATTTTAAATTACAAAAAAAAAAAAATAAATAAAAACGTTCTTTTCCATTTAAGTAAAATAGGTACTTTTATGATTCGCAATAGAAAAGAAATTTTCAACAAAATGTAAAGAAAGAGTAAAGTTTACCGCCACCTCCTTAGTTAAATATTAAACCAGTAAAGAAAGTCTTAAAGTCGGGCGGGCCGACTTTATGACACCCTACACCCCATTTACATATTTAGTAGAGCTTCACGTAACTAAAAAAGGTTTTATGGGGGAATTTGTGAGAACTAAATCATACCAATTTTGATTATAGTTATAATTTAAAGTCCAAAGGAACTAATATATGAGAGGAATATCCTCCTCTAAATCGATTTCAACAAACAGCTATATCCAAAATCTCAGCCGATCCCGATAAAATTTGGCAAAGGTATTTCTGAACTGTATTTGTTATGTTTCCCCGAATATCGGTGTTAGGGAGTGCATATTACGGTTGTGAAGAACAAATATAACAAATCGCATATACAATATATATGGTTGCTATAGCTATGTCTGACCCGATTTTCACTAAATTTGACATACTTTTTTCTAGGCTCAATTTGGTTGTAAGTGCCAAATTCCATTCCATTGGGCAAATATTACACACTTGATGCACAATAAAAGGAAAATCGGACGAAGATATATATGGGAGCTATATCTACATTTTGACCGATTACATCCAATTTCAATAGGGTTTGTAGATCAGGCAATAAATGCGACCTGTACTTTGTTTACTAAAATACATGGACAGACGGGCGGACATGCATAAATCGGCTCAGAATGTAGTTCTATGCAGATAATAAAAAGGCTGAAGATCGAATAAAGAGGCTGAAGATCGAATAAAGAGGCTGAAAAAAGGCGAAAGAGAGGAAATCACCTGAAAATATATTTATGGGAATAGAGAAGGATATCCAGGGAATGGAGAAAGATATCCGGATATCCAGGCGATGATATCAATAAAAAGAGTTTATTTGAGAAGTTGGGTGATTGGTAACGCAGACATGGACCCTCAAGAAAGTGCTTTGAGCAGTTATTGGTAATTTCAAGTGAAGAACAAAAAGATTTTCCTTTGAGTTCTGATAAGTTATATAAGAAAGAAGAAAACGCAATAGTAAATCATGTCAAGTTCATTAGAAAAATATAACAAAATTGTTTTAATTTTAATGTCGACGGACTTCTTTTCTTCAGAAATAAGTGTGGCCAATCTTAGTGAATAGTACAAATATTGGTGCAAATATATAAATGAATTTATTTTAAAATTCATAAAAGACGTAGTTACAAATGGATTCAAAATAGGAGAAAAGACTTTAGATTTATTAATGTCCTCATTGTTATTGGTCTGTTCCAGAACGTGCAACAACCTACTAGTTTGGATTTTTTTTTTTTTTTGTTTCATACCATAAAGAAAATCTGTTATCGTAGTAAAAACTTTTACATTCTTGCAGCTAAGATTTAATTTCTTGCACAATTTTTTATACCTGCGTAACTGTGCACGTAAGATAAGATCTAAGACATCTACTTTATTGTGCAACCAAATCGTGTATAAAGGAAAAGATGGGACATTTTTGAAAACTAATTCGAATTATATGCCAAATTAGCATTTCCAAAAATTGAGCAATAAGTAGAATTTCTTATTGGACTTAAACCATTTATTTCTTTTATTCTCTATCAATTTGGAATTTTTCAGAAAATCTTCCAAATCAAATTTGCTTATTTTTTTTCTCATTCCTCTCACAACTTGTAAAATATTTCCAATCATTAATAGCCACACGTTTTGTGTTAATTCACTTTCCATGCAGCATTTCGATGACCTTGCAGTTTTTTTCTTTTTGTTTGTTTGTTTATTGAAATAATTTAATTTTCTTTTATTGACAAAAAAATTCTTTTTAGTTTATTGGCGCTTTAGTAATTAGATCCCGCAAAGAATTTAGTAGTTTTTTGTTTTTCCCCAATTTCTGCTTCCCATATTGTAATTTAACCTACGTCTATTTTCATATGATATGCCTTCTTTTTAGTTTCGTAGCACCAGAATTGTTTTAATTAGGGTTGCAGCAGATGATTTTCGCAGAGTTAGTTTTTTTTTTTTTTTTTGAGTAATTCTATACTGAAAAATGATCTGTCTTAATGGAAGTTGTTTATGCTGAAGGTTTTTCTTGGACAATTCAAATTTTTCTTGCTGTTGTAAAACATATATTTCCATAAGTTGTAATAGTTGTAGTTTGGAATTATTTGCCAAAAAGATGTAAAATTGTGAAAAACGAAATGCTTGAAAAACAAATTGTGAAAATGAAAATTATTGCAATTTTTTATTGTCTTTGGTGTTAATAGATGTTTGTATCCTCTCCAGTAGGCAGGTTAAGTTCGATTTTAGCGACATTATTTACCGGAATTATTTCAAACTTCCTATTTGAAGTTCGCAAAAGGTACTACAGCCTATGACAAAAAATTTTGTAAATTTTGTACCTCCAGATATTCGGTATTTTTATGATTTCAGCAACATTATAATGCGTACTACAACCTATGGCAAAAAAATTTCGTATGCAGGTCCAGGTCTTCGTATAGCCCCCATATAACGGTACCTCCCGATATTCCGTATTTTCATGATTTAGCGACATTATTTACCGGAATTATTTCAAATTTTGTATTTGAAGTTCGTAATGGGTACTGCAGCCTATTAAAACAATGTTCTAAGCAGGTTCACGTCTTCTTGTTGTCCCCATATAACGGTACCTCCCGATATTCCGTATTTTCATGATTTTGGCGACAATATTTACCGGAATTATTTCAAATGTCGTATTTGAAGTTCGTAATGGGTACTACAGCCTATTATAAAAAAATCGTAAGCAGATTCACGTCTTCTTGTTGTCCCCATATAACGGGTTTCAATTAAGTGGTAGTTTTCAAATATTGTTTTTGAAAATTTTCAAGTTCCTTCCAAAAGGTGGAGGGTATTAAAAGTTTGGCCCGGCCGAATTTAGCTTCTTTTTTACATGTTATGTCATAAAAATCGATTTTCTGAAATTATCGCGACTTCCATTTTTTGATACAAATATTCACATTTTGTCAATGACCAAGGCAATGATGAGAGGTAATATGGGATTTACAAAGATAATTTGTGAAAATGTAAATATGCTTCTATTTCTCAAAATATTAAATATAAATGTAGACAGACACTCGCTGCATTTTTTTTTTTTTTTTTGCACTTAATTTATGAAAAAATTATATCTTTTACTTCTGGATATAAGGCCAGTTTTACTTAATTTTTGGGGGCAAAAATGCTGGCCATATGAAGGGAAAAATGTTATAATAAGGAAAATCGTGTCAATTAATACCTGAGGTTTTCGATGCATTCAGTATCCTTTGTAAAATTTATATAAGACATGCTATCTATTCCAAAAAATAGCCATTAACAATCCATTACAATTCAAGAAAATATATGTAAATAAAATTAAAATAAAATCCGGAAATTCTTTCAGAATAAATTTCCAAGATTGAAAAATTTATCCATTTAAAAAAAAAAAGAAAAACTGTCAAATCCGGATTTCTAGCTATAAAATGTTATTTTAACCCTCCTGTGCCATTTTCCATACCCTAAATACCTCTTTCGCTCAAATCACAATGTCACAAAGTCTGGCTTGAAATTCACATCTTGGTGCGATATTCCGTTTAGCGTCGGCAAACAGTTTTAAACACGTTTCAATTGTTGTCTTTCAATTTTCCTTATTTATTTATATTTATTTTTGCAACTTACCTTATTAATAATAGTGAATAGTGAAAAATGTTTAGAGTAATCCAATAGAGTATTTTCCAAAGCAATAGGTGATGTTATAATAAATTACTAAGGGTCTATAAGAATTTCCTTTTTTTAGATTTTTATTTGAAAATATTTTTTTTTTTTTTTTTTTTTTTGCAACGAGTTAGTTCAGTTTTTCTTTAGTATTTTCCAATACATTCTAGTTATATCACAATCTTCCTTTGAAGATATTCAATTCTTTTTTTTAGTAAAATTTATCAAATTTTAAGTGCAATTTTATTTAATAATATTGGTATTTTGTAATTTTTATTGGCAAGCATTTGATTTAGTTGGAGCGTAGTTCACAAAAATTATTATTTCATTCTTTTTTGGAGTTTTTTTTTTTTTTTTCTTAAAAAAAAAAAACTTTTAATTTAAATATATATTTTTCGTTGTTTTAATTTATAAGACACTTTTGTTTTATTTCATTTTAAGTTTAAACTTTTCTTTAATGATTTAATTGATTGATTTTTATTTGGCAAGAATAGGTTGAGAATTGAAATTTGTGTGTGTGTGTGTGTGTGTGAGTGTTGATTTTTTTGTTTTGGAATTTTACATTAATATTTTTCGCATTATCTTGTAAACAAATGATTTCGTTTTTAAATATTCATTTTCAATTTTTTTTTAGATACTTTTATTTTCCAAAGAAAAAGTTCTGGTGCGACGAGATTTCGAAATTTTCACAGAACTACAGAACAACCGAACATAAAACCGATAACGCGTTGCACGCACAGTATCCGTCAACGTGCAATCAACAAATAACGTTACACTAAACAACAACGATTTTCGGTTCACAATCCCAATGCTGACGATGACGACCACGGCTACGACTATGATGATGATGGGCGATGTGGTAGGTTGGTTGTTGGTGGTGGTGTTGGTGATGGTCGGTTGGTCGGCCGTTCGTTCGTTCGCACGTAATAGTGGTGGTGGTGGTGTTGGATATTTAGTAGCAGCCGCCGCTGCTCTTCAATTGTAATTGTGGAAAACTCTTTGCAATGGTAGTGGTAGTTGTTGCGGCAAATGTTGATACAGAATGATTCGCTTTGTTTTCATCACAGTTTCGAATGAAATTCTTGCACTCACACTCTTGCACGGATTTTAAATCTCTGAATTGTTTTTCTTAAGATTTTCCAAAAAACACACACTCGCACAAGGAACAATGGTAAAAGAAAAACTAATGATCAGAGCCATAAATCTCTTATTATCTTTTCTTTTGTTTTTTGTGATAATGTTACAGGAGCAGATGCCGAAATTGATATTGATTTTTTTACAGACTACACTTTCCTGTTTATATCTTTTGTTATAAATAAAAAAGACCGGCTTTTATTCATAAAATATTATTAACCTGCTTTTGCACTCCCACAAAAAAAATCGCTTTAAATTTGCAATGTCATATGAGAATTTTTTTTTTCACGCGCTCACAACAAAGCTTTCAAGCCGTATGTATTTGTTTCTACTTTTTTTTAAATCTCTTAATTTAACAATAACAAAGTTTAATTAAACAAAATACAAATATTCGTGCGTTCTTTTTGTTGTTTCTTTATTTTACTCTTCACACACAGATTACGCGCGTACGGTTCTGACGTTGAACCGACACTGCTTTAACAGAAACTAATGGCAATAGCAACCTTTCTAAATAGAATAAGCCCAACAACTTCTACCAACACAACAACAGTACCGGGATCCGCAACATACAAGCACACCAACCCACAAAATCTCCCAACAACACTCAGGCATTACGGTGTTGCAAGGAAAACAAAAACACAATATCACACACACACACACACACACACACAATGAACCACCACAGAAAGAGAGCATTCGAGAGAGCAAGCACTAATACAGTCGAAACGAAAGGTTTTATTTCACAAAACAACCTCTCAGATAATTTTACGGATAACAAGCATTGTATGAATGAAACAAACTGTAACCACGTGCAAATTTGTATCTCCACAGAATACGCTGCTCACACAAACTCTCCCACCACACAAAACACAGTGGTTCCAGAACTATATTTTACCAAACATTTTAATTGGAATTTGTTATTTTGAAATTTTCAGGCATTAGAAGGTTCCCAGAAAAATGTTAGACACCCATTTTAAAATATTGAGGAATTCATGTTTAAAAAAGTGATCACAAATAATAGCTAAAAACGCTGAAAACTCAATATTTAAGGAGTTATGGCCATTTTAAAATATTGAGGAATTCATGCTTAAAAAAGTGATCACAAATAATAGCTAAATACGCTGAAAACTCAATATTTAAGGAGTTATGGCCATTTTAAAATATTGAGGAATTCATGCTTAAAAAAGTGATCACAAATAATAGCTAAAAACGCTAAAAACTCAATATTTAAGGAGTTATGGCCATTTTAAAATTTCCCCAGACGGATAGACGAACGTACATCGCTAATTCGACATATAATTTTATGCTGATCAAGAATATATATACTTTGTGGGGTCTAAAATTTATATTTCGGGTGTTACAAACCATATAAATGTACCTCCAGATACTTTTTCACGGGAATTATTTCGTATTTGGAATTTGAAGTTCCTATTGGGCACCATGACAAAACATTGCGTATGCAGTACCCCACATATAACGGTACCCCAGTTTTTGGATATTTTGATGATATTATATATTTCCAACCTCATACTGGCTGTTGTACAACGTCATTACATACTATTAAGTACGGTCCCTCTCATAGGGTACCAGAGACTTAAATATATTGAATGTTTCAGAAGGATTTTCGGAGTATATGATAGCTTTACTTACTACATTTTTAATTGGCTCTACAAATAAAAAATGTAAACTTCAATATCAAATAAAAAGAAAAATTCATGCGATAAAAATAATTACGAAAAATTAAAAAAATATATGTCTAAAAATATTTTTTATTCAAATTTTTAGTGGGGATTTTTATGCCGTCCGCCATGGTATGGAGGGTATATTAAGTTTGTCATTCCGTTTGTAACACCTCGAAATATACATTTTAGACCCCACAAAGTATATATATTCTTGATCAGCATAAAATTCTTTGTCGATTTAGCGATGTCCGACCCTCTATTCCATCTGTAGAAATCACTCTAAATCCCGAACCAAATGAAGTAGGTTGATAAAATTTTACTCAAATGTATATTATTTCTGCAGGACTTTTGATATTGAAAATGGACCTTGTATGTTTTGTTATAGCCCCCATATAATGGTACCTCCCTTTTTCAGTATTTTGGTTATTTAAGCGACATTATTCACCGGAAATGTTTCAAATTTGTTATTTGAAGTTTATAATGGGTACTACCGCCTATGACAGAAAATTTTCTGTGCAGGTCCACGTCTTCGTATAGCCTCCATATAAAGGTACCTCCCGATATTCGGTATCTTTAGGATTTTGGCGACATTATTCACCGGAATTGTTTCATATTTGATATTTGAAGTTTGTAATGAATATTAGAGCCTAAGACAGAAAATTGTCTGTGTATATCCCCCATATAACGATATCTCCCGATATGTGGAATTTTAATGATTTTAGAGACATTATTCACCGGAATTGTTTCAAATTTAGTGTTTGAAGTTCGTAATGGGTACTACAGCCTATAACGTCTTCATATAGCCCCTATATAACGATATCTTCCTATATTCGGTAGTTTGATGATTTTAGGTACATTAATCAAGTTTCGCATTTGAGCTGTGTAATGGTTTATGACAAAAGTTGTCTATGCAGATCCATGTCGTCGTATAGACCCTAATATTACGGCTAAATTCGTTATTTTTTAGATTTTAACAGACTTTTTAACGGATTTTATTTTTTAGAAAATTGCCAAAATCTTTTCAAATGGTGGAGGATATTCAATGATCGGCCCGTCTGAACTTAGAGCTTTTTTACTTGTTTTTTACTTTTTTCTTTTCCGCCAGGAGACCATTCACGAATATCATACTTTGTTTTGAGTTTAAAATATATATTTGAATGAGAATAATACAATTCCATCTCAGTTTCTTAGTAGAAGCAGAATCTTGCCTTTGTCTTCTCTTACTATTAAGAGATTTAAGGCGACAAACCAAACATAAAAGAGAAAAAAAAAGTAAATATGTAATCAATTAAATTTATAGTGACAAAAATTTGTTTCAATTTTTACAGGTATATTAAATTCATCACAGAGTAGAGCTGTGCCGTTCCAGGAAGAAACGAATCAAGGGCCGATTATTAACATTAAAATTAACACCCAATTATGTCGGTATGATGTTAAAATAATGGAAGAACTCTTTATTGAAACCACTGTGTATGTTCCTCTCCCTTAACTAATCAAAGAGATACATAATTACTTCTCATAGAGATAAACCTGGCTTATCTCATAATAAACTGATAAAGAGGAGAGGAAACCAATTTAATCTCACTTTGGCCAAGTGGTAATGTTTTTGTATGCGAGTGTGTGTGTGTTGGAGTGGTGATTACTCTCCTCCCTCGTTTTTCTCCAGCTAAATATTGAAACGCGCTCTACATTTTTAACCTCCTCCCTCTCAAATGTAGACCATTCACACCATTGCTTTTTTCCAACAGCAAACAACACCATAACCACCACCAATTTTGTAGCGGCCGTTCCCAGGCCACTTCATTCGTATCCCCCATATCTGCGTGGGCTTTATATTTTCGCTTCTAATTGCACTCCACAACACTCCGTATGCCAATGAGATCACAGTATTTTCTGTCGGTGTGTTGTTCTGTGGTAGTTGGTGTTATTGCTGCTGCTCCATACTGTTGTTGTTGTTGTTGTTGTTCCTCTTCTTTTACGTTCATAGCATGCATGGGTGTCTGCATGTCTGTCTGTCTGCCTGTCTCTTCGTTTGTTCGTTCGCTTGCTTGCTTGCTTGGCTGCCTGCCGCCAGTTGGTTTCATTTCCATTGACTTCCACTCTGTAGGCGCCTCCTACTTTTGTTTGGAGCTTTTTTACGTATTTGCAATCTTTGGCTATTTATTTTGTTGTTATTGTTGTTTGTTTTTATGGATTTTAGTAGGTGTGGATGTGTGTTGTTCTCCATTCTGTATGTTTGTATTTTACAAGGGCTATTTTAATTAATTTTCTGTGTTAAAATTTTGTTTTCCAACTACTTGTTTTGCTTCTGTCATTGTCGGCGATTTCTTTATTCGCATTTTTATTGAACTGTCCACCTTACATTGGTTGCCTTTTTGGGGGAACTTATTATGTTAATTAGCAGCTGGTGAATTAAAAAAAAATGCTGTCTGTTCCTCTAGATGAGTGCACATTTGTACATATTTATTTGAATTTCTAAACAAGCAACAATTATGAGATCATAATTATTGTAAGACTATTACTGAATCGATAGTAAAATTGCAAAAGTATGTATACCTATTTGTTGTCGCTTAGGAAGCCTACAGGTGTTATCGACAGAATTGTTTGCAAATTTATCTCTCAGACAGGAGTATATTCTTCACATGAGGGTTATACCACCTTATGTGCTGGGTCAGAGTTTTGCTACTTTTTCTCGAAGTACCACTGCAAAATAATAACATTTTTATAAATATTTTGTTATTATTATTAAACAAGCAAGCAAAGTCTATAGTCGTGCGGGGCCGACCCTACAACACTAAAATATGTTAGAAGCCCCCTTATGTTCAAATCCATTTTGGAAGATTTAGCTTTTGAAATTATGTCATAGAGCACTGCCCAGATATTACCCTTATCATTTTGACCAGCGACATTTGCCCAATATTTACGCACTCCATCATCTCCAAAAGCAAGATGCCCCTCTGTATCTCCAAATTTAGACTCATATATATGATTTGCTTGTCTACGATATTTGGCTATATTTGTCAACGAAATCAGCATAACAAAGCAAGAAGTTCACCTTTTGTGTATTCGGGATATCGCCCGTATGTAATGCTGGTATTTTTTCACACAAAAGTAGTGGTCCACTCTACCCGCTGTCCTAAACTCTAACTTCAAGCGAGATTTCGTGCCTTTGGTTTCTATTTGTGACCTTTATAACGGCTGCAAAATCAGGAACATTTTTAGTTGTTGGTCCATTTTAACACCTAAACCCCTTCTGAGCCTAGCCCTACCCTTGTGAAAATTTTCGTGAGAATCGGACGATAATTGCAATCTGTATATAATAACCCCAAACTGTGTTCTAAGGAAAAAAAAAATATTATAAAATGTACAATACAATATTGTAAGTCAAATTGAAAAAAAATCGCATGCAATGAAAAATATACTAGAAAATCTATCTTAAAATCATTATTGGCGATATTTTAGATTTTATTCTTTTATGCCAAGAGGGCATTCTGAATTGACAAAATTTGTCAAAATAGGTTCATCCAATCTTGAGATATAAGCATTCTAGCTAACATCCCATTCCTGTGTATATACACATTGTATATATTTCACTATATATATTCGATATATTTACAATCAGCATCTACGTAACGGCCAGAATTGACTTGTTCGTCTTTTTATGGTTTCGCCGGAATTAAAAATATTCGCGGTTTAATGGAAATTTTGACTTTATTCAACCTAAATGTTATGGTCATTCACTCACTAAATATTACCCGATGAGCATCCAAATTGGAAGGCTTCTGCTTCATTTCAAACCCTAAATA